TTGCACAATACATACAGTATTGTACAATAATACTGTTCCAGCTTACATATAAATTCGACTTAAGGACAGACCTTGGGAACAGAACACGTTCTTAAACTGGGGACTACCTGTATTTAAAAAAAAAATCATTTTTTAATGACAGGCTTCTATGACAAGTGGTAATTTGTCTCATTTAGAAATATTATTGCTATTCTAGATGAAGTTATTCGCAAGCGACTTTTGATTGATGGAGATGGTGCAGGGGATGACAGACGAATTAATTTGCTGGTGAAGAGTTTCATCAAGTGGTGCAATTCTGGATCTCAAGAAGAAGGGTATTTTGCTATCTTTTATTTATAAATCAAATGTGGAAGCAATTCATGCAATTGCAGTGCTGTATATAGTATCTTTTTAATAGAAAATCAAGTTTGTATCCAATGACATATATCAGGATCACATTTTAAATGAAGAATTCAGTATTAGAAGAGTCTGTTAGGAAAATAGATCTTGAAATGGTTTAAAATATAAATGATGGGGAACAAGCTATAATGCAACACTTAATAACTTTTAATACATATTTTAAGTGTATTTTGGGTAATATTGTGACTGTTTTTGTAACTAAAATTAATAGTTTTTATAGCAGGTGCTGAATAATATGATACAGGCTAACTATTATGTCCTGGAAAATGCATTGGTTTGTATTATTTTTAAGAAAAACAAGAAAAATCATATAAAAGAAAAATATTGAGAGCCGTCAGACAAAATCAGTTTGACTTTAATAAATAAATCATTGCCATTTCTTTGTTGTACAAGTTCCAGAGGCCTTTAGTTAAGACTGGATGTGCTATATTTTCTGTCTAAGAAAAGGTTGTGTTTCTTTCCCCCCCAAAAATAACACATTGATATAAAATTGTATTATGGAATTTGGTTCTATGAATGTTCTAGGTGCCTCTGATTGTGAGTGTAATATGAATGGGGATAACACATCACTGTTCTAATGGTTGTATCACTGGATAGCATTTTGTGGTTTTGTAATGTTTTGATAATAGTGCAGGGAGTGGTAAAGTGAAGTCCACCAACCCTCGAAAAGCTTCCTCCCCCACAATTTTTAAATTTAAGGAAATTACCAAAATCTCACAACAGATGAAATTTCAGCAGTAGTTTTCATGTTGACTGTTGCCTGTGAGAATGTAATGGCACCCAGGGGCAGGAAGCAGTTGCTGCCAACTCCTACTGAAGAGGTTGATGCTCTAACATTGAGTTGTTGTTGTTTTTTAACTTGTGTTTAGTTTTGTTTTTGTTTCTCTTAAAATGAATGGAAATCAGGTATGCTGGAAAGCAAGGCACCCTCTTCTAACATCATCTCTATTTTTAATAATGCCTCTGGGACTGACAGAGAGTCGTAAGTTAGTGGTTATGAGTGCTAGTGGTTTGTTTAGAAATGTGTCCGCTTGTTCAGAAAAAGAACAAAGGTAAGGTAGAAGATTCTTAGGGAGGTCTAGCTGGGTAGCAGGGAGCAGCCTCACCAGTCTATCTTCTGATAAATGGGTATTTTGTGATTGGCCACATCTATTAGGGCAGCCATTTGGTGTCTATATCTCTAATATTTTATCAAAATGGATCCAAAACCATTGGGTCCTACTCCTATAATTTTTACCTATCTACAAAGATGCATGCATTTTTAGTGGCAAGTATCATTAAGGATATATAAATATATATCATGGAAAACATTTGTGATTTTTATGACATTCAGCTTTTGAAGGCTGTAAATTCTCTATCCAATGCTGTAGTGCATCTTTTCTTCCTTCTTTCTTATAAAAAGTACAAACGACATTACTGATCCCCATAATATCCATCTTCTCCACTTCCAAATAGATTTGGTATGACATTAAAGTCTCTGAACAAGGATTCCTAAGATTGTTGGATAAAACTAAAATGTGGTTAGGACAGGCAGGCATTTGTCTGAAGCAAGCATCACTAGAGATAGGAACATGCCAGATACACTGGATTCAAAACAAGTAGCTATTATGATGTTCCAAAAAGTAATTCAGATTAATTATAAAGTATGAGAACCAGTTTGGTGTAATGGCTAAGGCACCAGAATTAACACTGAGAGACTGGGAGTTCTAGTCCTACCTTAGGCATGAAGCTAGCTGGTGACTTTAGGCCAGTCACTCTCAGCCCTCGAAGAAGGCAAGGGCAAACACTTCTGAAAATCTTGCCAAGAAATCTGCAGGGACTTGTCCAGGCAGTTGCTGTAGTGGAAAAAATAAACCTAAGAAATAAAATGGAGACTGCACCCCTTCCCTCCCTGTCCTTTAGATATTACCAGGGTCAAACCCAGTTCTTCTCTTTGCTTAATCACATCAGACCCAAATTGACCCTCCTTGCACCAGACAAAGCCTCCTGTAGCCCCTTTCTAGACCAAAGAATAGAAGCCTCCTCTGCAGCTCACAGTACAGCTCAAGGGCAGCCCTTACAAGGGAGTTGCGACCTAGAGAAACCCCAACCTTCCATCTTCTTATCAGCTGATGACCTCAACATTCCATCTTCTTCACAATGGACTTCCCCAGCTTTTCTGCCCTCCTGAAAGGCGCATTTTGCCTAACAATGGAACTCTCCCCAGGTACATTGACAAGGACCTGCCTGGCTTCCCCAGACTGGCCTGCTAATCAGATCCCTAGGACTTCCTGCCTTGTATCCCTCAATTTCTATAAAAATCTTTGCTTTTCTATTGTTCAGGATCCCTCTTTCTTGTAAAACAGGCACCCAATAATCACTTCAATAAAGCGTTCTTCTCTACGTTGTGCTCCTTACTTTAGCAAAATTCCATGACAGTTGCCAGAAGTCAAGACTGACCTGAAGGCACAAATCTATATATTTGATCAAATTAAATAAATTTGCCTTTTGCTTGATGATGTCTATGGCCTATTTATTCCAGTTGTCTTGAAGCTGAAATTCTACAAGCAGATAAACTGTACTTCTGAAACTGGTTACTTTGGCTTCATTTTTACCAGAACTAAAAGACTTAAGGGATATAGTTTGAACACTGTAAATATTAACTCCCCCTGCTGATAAAAGCAGCAATCAAAACTAGAATTAAAAAAAAAATAGAAATGCTGCACTGAAATCAGTGGAAGACATACTGAATTCAATGAATAGACATAAAATATGATTTCAAATAAATATATATGTTTATTTAAGAATAACTGCATGTAGAATTTGTATCATGTTACAAGTGATCACAATAGCTTAGATATATTTTTTCTCTTCACTATCTTTGTAGATGAAAATTAAGAATAGCAGTTAGTCTTTCTGGACAGTTTTTAACCTAATGCCTTACAGGAATAAAATGCAATTACTTTTTAACCTCTATTAATAAACCGTATCAAGATTGGGGAAGCTGTTTTATGTCTTCTTGGCAGCAGCATCTTCCTTTTGACAATCCTGCAGTATTCAGACAAGCTCTCTCTTTTGTATGCATTCCTGCAGCTAATTTGCAGCTAATTTATATCAGTTGGACATCTACAAAAAAGAATTTGGTATCTTTGATAATAGGCACATGTTAGGGAAGGAGATCAGTGGAATGTTTGCAACATATAAAAAACTAGCTTCCAGTTAACACTTTTAATAACTTTCAGAAAACACCAGTTAAAATAGCTTTGAAAGTAGATGTAAGAATGTTTGAAAAGAGTGATGTTATGTGTCTTTAGGTCAGTGTTGATTATTAGCAGTCACACAGATCTTCTTCAGGATGATCTGTCCCCAAACTGGTTCCTCAAGTCTTCCCATGGTGCAGCTGTTGCTGCTGTAATTAAGCCATTCCCCTTCCAGTTAACACTTTTAATAACTTTCAGAAAACAACAGTTAAAATAGCTTTGAAAGTAGATGTAAGAATGTTTGAAAAGAGTGATGTTATGTGTCTTTAGGTCAGTGTTGATTATTAGCAGTCACACAGATCTTCTTCAGGATGATCTGTCCCCAAACTGGTTCCTCAAGTCTTCCCATGGTGCAGCTGTTGCTGCTGTAATTAAGCCATTCCCCTTGCTGCTGGTTGTCATCTTTTTCTCTTTCTTTTGATCTTTCCCAGCATTATATGCTTCCCAAGAGACCTAGGTCTTCACATAATATGTCCAAAATACAATCATTTGAGCCTGGTCGTTTGTGCCTCAAGTGAGAAATCTGGATTGTTCTATGATCCATTTGTTTGTTTATCTGGCTATGCATGGTATTCTCAGGATTTTCCTCAAACACCAAAGTTCAAAAGCATTAGTAGTATTTCCATCCTGCTTCTTCAGAATCCAACTTTTGTTTCTGTAGAGTGTCATAAGGAAAAAACCATTGCCTGTTAAATTCTGATCTTAGTAGGTACAGAGACATCACAGCATCTGAATATCTTTTCCAAGGCCTTCATTGCTACTCTATCAAGTGCTAGTTTACAGCATTTTTCTTGACTGCTGGATTCTAAAAGGCAGAGGCTATCCACCACTTCATTATCCTCACTGTCAGTTCTAAGGCTGGTTGCTGTACTTGTTGTCATTAGTTTGGTCTTTATATTTAATCCTAGCCCAATTTTTTCGCTGTGCTCCTTGACTTTAATTACTACAGCTTGAAGATTAGCACAACTTATTGATGTCTCTTACTCCAGTTTTAATACTATGCTCATTTTCTTCAATCCAGTTTCCCTGAATAGGTATTCAGCATATAGCTTGAATAAATAAGGGGAGGGTATACAGCCTTGTCTCACTCCTTTGCTGACCTGGAACCAGTCTGTTTTGCTATGTTCAGTCTGGATTGTGGCTTCCTGACCTGTGTATAAGTTTTGCATCAAGACAATGGGATGTTCTGGGATTCCCATTTTCCTGAGCACATTCCACAGCTTGACCAGATTGACCCAATCAAAGGCATTTCTATAACCAATGAAGCACATACAGTGGTACTTAAAAGTTTGTGACCATACAAGTCCTTCCTTTGCCATACAAGTATATAGCTTTGGATCATTTTCCTCAATAAATAAATGAACAAGTATAATGTTTTTGACTCATT